CAACTAAATCATGCGACGAAAAAAATAAGATGGAAGAACAGCTAACGCATGTTGTACGAGTATCTGTTTCTGCATCTGTGCGAGTATCTACAGCTGTATCTGTATCTCTTGGGCGTGCTGTGTGCGAGTGTATCGCATGAATGAGCCTGTCGCTTGATTTAGGTTCCATGCCAGAGTCAAATTTGAATAATAAATATTTCATAGTTACAACAACGAAACGAAAAGCGAGAAAATCGAAAGCCAAATGCGTAAAATATTCAAAACGGGTCGCGCACACAGAAATTGTGCGACTAAATCAAAATGTTGTCGAAATAAAACGTTTGAAAATTGAATTTTGGGATTCATGTTTCTTCTTCTTCTGTGCGCTCATCTCCAACCAAATTGAAAACATTTGTAACGGAAATGAAAACCATTTTTATTCACTCTTCCCCTCTCTGGCTTTGAGGAGGGGCAAAACTCAACCCAAAAACTCGACTCGTTGGCAACTCAGCGTTGGGGTCTGAATTTAAATTAAGAAATTTATCTTTTGAATGCGTCTTTTTGTTCATTTCGTGTTCCCTTTGTGCCTGCCTTTGTTTCGTAAGTCGTCTTTGTGCTTACACACAGCAACAACAGCAAAAAAGTCAACAAAAATAAAAATCTCTCACCTTCTGGCATATAAAATTGACTATACATTTTTTGTCAGCTCATGTTTTAAGCAAAAAATAAAAAGATTTCTTAGATTTTATCAAGAACTTTTGCCGAAATAAATTTTAATTTATGCCCTGTTTATTTTGCAGCCATTTGGCATGCGTGAAACGAGTCGCATCGAGTTGCTTAATTTCACTTCAAAGATTTATTTTAAACGCGTAGTTTTGCACCTTGTGCTTAAACCTATACTCGCCACGATTTATAGGAAACTTATAGGCAAGATCAGAGTGGGCGTGGAGCTGTATAAATCAGGGACCACCGACATTTGCATACGAGCTCTCGCCTCCTCCAAATAACTGACTTAAATTAGTTGATATTTAGAAGCCAATAAAATAAATCTGCGCCGCAAATAATGTCATTTGTCAATGGGACTTTCGTTTAGCGGCTGCAGTATTTTCACAGTTTTTATTGTTTTCAATTGATTTTATTCGCGATTCATGCAAAATCTATTCATAAAATGTTGAAATTATGTGCTAATGGCAAATCGTTTAGTTCCTCTCACATACTGTCCAGTTGAACATATTTATTTACAAGCGCGTATTAAGCTCACGAAACTCACGAATATTTCTCAAGATTGAATATTGAACGCACATTCGAATGATTTTTAATTGCCCGACTGAATAATCAACTGAATAAATAATTCGTTTTTATTGTGTGAAATAATGCGTGAGAAAATGAAACAGCAAAACAAACCTGGAACATACGAAAGTCAAATATAAAAACAGGGTGCGAGTTGAAAAACAGAAACTTAAAACTACATGGTATTTTCTATTAACAACATTTATGCAAGTGAAATTGAGAAGTGAAATTAATAATTTAATATTTTATTATAATTAGGCCTATCAATACTTTTATAAGGGTACTTACTACTTATTAACCAATTCATGGGGGTTCACTTATGTAAGAAGCATGGGGGAAATGGCGGAAAGGTTGACGAATGAATTCTATATTTAATATAAAGAAAACTAAGTGCTGCATAATAGGCAAAGAATTGAATCATATTTAGCTTGAAGCCTTCCTAGGACATAACTGAAATATTCAAACCCATTTAAAAAGTATTATTTGAAATTTAATTTGTATTAAATATTGAATAACATAATGAATATAAATTGATTTGAAATACAAATTTTATAACATTTTCTTCTTATATGTAACTGGAATATACTTAGCTCCTACAGTTTATTTCATATTATATTATCATAAGATATATTCATATCTCGATAGATTCAGCTATTGGCATCTTCAAGCTTGGGTAATATTATATATAAGTAATTTGTTAATAGTATTTTTGACTCCCTTTAATAGTGTGAATGTTACAGAAGTAGAATATATTCAACCAATGTGATTTCAATTTAAAAATTAAACCTTAATTTAACACATTTCCCTTTAATTTTTTGTTAATTAGAGGACGCACATATGCAGATCTAACCAACTAACAGATGCAATTAGACTTCCACCCTGGACAAAGTGGTCAAAAAAAATGTACAACATATGACCATTAAAAATTCCAAATTCATTTAGATGAGTGCCAGTCTACATATATATGAATAAATGTGAGTGTGTCTCCTTATTTATGAGTCCTGGTATATGTATTATAAATTACTCTGTGAATGTGTGAGTGTGTGTGCGTGTATATTATGATACGTTGATGATATGTGGAGTTGAGCCCATAACTAGCACAGCTTGGATGTATGTCAGTGTGTCTGTGGGGAAGTGAGGCAAAGGATATTTGGGACACTGGTCTGAAAGAGCGGGTAGAACGGACGTGCCGTCCAATTGTGCCATGTGTGGCATGTTGCCCTTTCGCTGAGCCCAAAATACAAGAACGACAAAAAAGCAGAACCAGATACAGATACAAATGTAGGTGAAGTGTGGCCTCCGGCTGACCGCTGGCCGTTCACCGAGCCCGGGTCGAGGTCTGAACGAATCTCGAGCCAAAGCGGGTGGCATAAAATACTCAAAGACTCATTTGCATATTCTGCAAGCGGTAAATGTAACAGGGAAAGTGCTGCGGCCCACAGGAAAAGCGACTTTTATGTGAGTTTTAATTCAATTTTTGAGCGCGTGTGTTGGTTTTGGTAATTAACAAAAGAACTTCGAGCGGTGCGTCTACATTTGTTATTTATGTATTTACCGCCGCCATTGTCGAGCCTTCTGATCCATCGCCATTCGAGTGGTTCTGCTGGCGGTGGAGTGATGCGCCCGCCTTGATACCGATCTAATTAAATGATTTATGAGCACTGCATAATGTTGAACTATTTGGGCTTTCGATAAGCGAGCAGCAATGCCGCCTAATCCCCGCCAGACGCAAATGCAACACCATGCTGCTTGCCACCGGCCACATAGACCCCCACAGATAAGCGCATACAATGCGGCGGCTGGCAGGGGATATATGCTGTTGTTGCACTTCTGGCAATTTACGAGCTCGGCTTTGCATAGTTTCAAATGGCTGTTATACTCGTGCTGCAACACAAATTCAAGCCCAAAACACAATTCATTTTGCTCGGCCCAAATAGCCAAATCCCCAGCGTCGCACCACGGCATACAAATCTGCCGTTTTGCATTTGGCGGCCATATATCATACTCCAGCGGGTCAACAGAGCTACACGAATCGCCAGCCGAGAGAAGCTAGTGTACAATGGGATTCAACTACTCAATAAAAATAAGAAAATTTAATTAAACAAGAAATAAGCTCGCATTCGATTTTGTAAGGATTAATAGCTTGTTAATTGTTAATTGTTAATTAAATACATTTATTATAATGAACTAATTTCTCAACTCAAATAATTAATAAAAACAAGTATTGCGAAATAATTTGTATTCTTACTCTTGCATAAATGTGTACTTTAAATATCTCTTGCCAATATACCACATGCCCCAGCCAGGTATCGCATCTAAGACAATATTTTTTTGTTATATTTAAATCTCTTTCGAAACTTTATTCTTCCAAATAATATTGAATAACTTTCAGTCTGTTGAATGCATTAATACAAATTGTATCCTTACTCTAGAACTCTTTAAAACTTTGCTTAAAAATATATTTGTTTTTCAATAAAAATGTATTTGATTTCTGCATTGATATAATTTGTTTTTCACCATAGTTAATATTTGTTAGGCCTGGAACGGGTTTGGTCCTGGCTGCGAGCCGTTAAATGAGTGGCTCCACCAAACTCAGCGCCCGGCTCAGTTTCAGTTGGCCGTTGAATGGCACCAAAATTTATGCACATTTTATTGACCAACACTGGGAAAAACACATTTGAGTTGTTGTTGATGTTGTTGTCGTTGTTATTGTTGCTATTGTTGTTGTTGGCACAACAACATGTCCAAAAGTGTTTTATGGTCGTTGTGGGTGCTCAAGTGGCCATTTTGGGCTTGCCGTCAGTCGGGGGATCTGCATATGCACTCGCCGGTCTTGTCCGACAAGCACTTGGCCGGCAAAATGTGTAGAGCCCTGAATACAGATGAGCATTGGCCCGGCTTAGACCGAGAACTAACTAAATATGGCTATTTGCGACTGAAGGCATTTGATTTATGCTGGCTGCTTTTGGATTTCTTTAAGCTAATCGCAACTAAAGCCGCTTCTTGGCAAGTCAATGACCTGGGCCAATCGCCAGCAGAGAAATGCGGTTCAAAGTCAAAAACTCAATTAGCTGCTGATGAGCGGCGACACGGGTGGAACGGGAGGCGAGAGGCAAGGCACTCGGAACTCGGGAAGGAACTCGGACCGTGCCATCGTCTAAAAATAAATGTACATTAAAAGCGCAATGGAGTCGACGGGCGGGCTGAAGTGGAAATCTCGTTAAAAGTCAATAACAGACGCCATTAAATGCGCATGAAAATGAAATGAGAACCGCTTGATGAGGCGGCCTGTGGGCTACACAAAGATATTTGGGGCGCGGTCTCAACAGCAACCATAGTGGTAGCCACGCGACCACTTGAGCCACCGCGATCCAACGTTCATATCAATTCTGTAGAGTAATTTGAACTGACCTCAGAGCAGCCCAGACAAGTTCAATGGCATTTATGCATAATAAAAGTCAAGATAGATAAATGGAATTTTTTCAAAATACTTGTGAGATAACTAGAGATACCTTATGAATGGCATAACGTCTCTTATGTAAATTGCAGTAGGATTGCACCAAGAATACATAATATTTGTGGCTACAAATAATAAAGTTCATCATCTGTCTGTACATAATCATTAAATGAGCGGGGTCTTGATTGAAGAATTCAGAATAATATAAAACTTAGTAGCCTTTTAAAATCTCTACCCAGCTATGATAATCCGAATTTCTAGGTTTCAGTTAAACAACAAATCTCACATTGAAAACATAGGCAACAATATTTTTGAATATTTATATTTATCAATGAAAATTTCTAAAATAAAAATAAGCTGAGTCACAATGAATCGCGTGCTGGAGGATGTGATCCACAGACACGCTGCCAACACTGATCGCATTACAGCTGAGAATACACTGGGCTATGTGGTCTCGGATAACACCACCGGCAATGTGGCGGCCACCTCTTTCGATAATACTAGTGCCCAGGGCATTGTGAAGCACATGAATGGCATTTTGGTCGGCATAGTGCAGAGCGCCATCCGGGATCTGGATCCGACAAATAAGCTGTGCTATCTGCGTGTGCAAACACGCAAGTTTGAATATCTCGTCGCGCCAGAAGAGCTGTTTACTATAACCGTGTTGCAGTAAAAAGGAAAATATCGATGTTTTTTGCATTTGAATTTGTTGCTTGCTCTCCAGGTTTAATGCTGAGTTCAAGTATTTGTGTTCGGGTGTCCAGTGAATTAAATTTAAAATTACAAAAATATATATTTATATAGAAATCTTTTTGTCTCTATTGAGTTTATTATTTTCAGTTTCATTTCAGTTCAGTTGAACTTGAACCCTGGATGAATAGGAAAGAATGATTGAATCAACAAGACGAATAAGATAGAATACGATATGCAGACCAAAAATCCTTTATAATACCCAAGTGACATTGACATTATTTATGGCATGGCTTCATTGGGCAGCGGGCACTAAATTTATCCATGAGAATGCGGCCATCTAATGCGATAATTCAAAAGATTTACTTCTGTCAACATGACCATTTTGTAGACAAACTTGGGGTTGAAATGGCCTTTGACCTTTTTCCTTTTTTTTTTGCCATTTCCATTTTGCCTGCCGCAATGGATGCTGCCTGCTATTTTAATTTAAAATGGCAGAGCTCGTAACTCATTTTAACGGCGCACCCTCCACACTGAGTGTGTATATACATATATTTGTGTGTGTGTGTGTGCGTGAACTTGTCCTATTTTTACAGCCCTAGGCCCTTGCAGGGGTTGCTCGCTCGTTACAATAACTTATCTGGCCTTTTTTTACGCCGGGACTCGGCAACGCCATAATCACCACGACGCAGGGGCAGATGAAGACGCTCCTGGGGTGCGCTTTGTACTTATCCATTTTCCATTTCCAAACCCATTCCCATAGCTGTTCGTCCATTCCTTTTCTTCCATTGCTATCTCGAAGCAGTTGTCCATTGTCTTGGGCCGTTCTGTGGTACATACATGATAAAGAAATAAATAAAAATTTGTACAGAAATGTAACTGCAGAACTTCTTTGAATATAACTGGGTTTCGTCTCGGTCTCTCCCTATCTATTGTGAACTCTGCCTTGGTGGCAAGGTCGGGCTCATCCTGCACGCCCGTCAAGAAGTGCGCACTTCATTTTATGCAGCGTAAAATTCAATTAATCCATGGACCAATGCTGACGACTTCATTTCAAGAAGTCGTCTGTGGAACTCCTTTTCCCCCCCTAAAGGTTTCGGCTGGCATTCATAATTCATATAGAAATTAGAAACACTGCGAATTATATTCAAATAAAACGTTTTTCTCTGCCTAACTTGAATTTCAAGCTTGCAGGATAATGGCTCACACATATCCTTGACTCCAGAATCCCCCTCCGTCCTCTAGCGTCCCCCGGGGCGTGTCCACGCCACATGCATTTAGTTTTCAGCACAGTGCGAACTGCTCTATGAATTTAATTAAGTTGTGCGACAAACCCAAAAGTGCCACTGCAACATGGAATCCAAAAACAAACAAACACGACTCATATATGTACATATATTAAGCGTATCGTACTTATAAGGAAGGGCCGCAGACCTAGACCTCAGCTGCCATACAGCTAGGAGCAGACACTGAAATGTATTTGTTTTACACAACTTCCCGTAGAAGGACAAAAAATAATAATATTTAATCTGATTATATGTGGGCATAACATTCGTAGTATACAATCTGTACAGTAAATAAAAGAAAACTTAATATTATATTTAGTATTGCTTTAATCCCTTTGTATGAATTCCTTTATTTATAAATTTATAAATAAATTTGTAAACAAATTTAAAGATTTTTTTAACAAAAATTACAAACATTCGCCATAAATACAATAAAGACATAGCTCACAAATTAACCGAATAGCCAGATTCTAGCTTTCCAGAAAATCCCATAATATTTTCTAGTCCATACACTTACTATAAATAGAATTTCTCAAAAAAAAATGAGAGCTGCTGCAATCACGAGCCTGCAAGAAATCAATTAAGTTAATTCAAACGTCGAAAAGCCATAGAAATGGGATTTAAGTGAGTGCCACAAGAAACAAACTGCTAAATATAGAGAGGAACCCAGACAAGGGGAGCGACAGAGATGGAGTTGGAGACTGAGACAGAGCTAAATGAGCAGCAGAAATCCTCTCACTCAAATGCGTAGGCCAAGCCCATTTTGGCTGGCGCTGGCTCTGCCCCTGCTCCTACACTGAGGAAAACATGCTAGGAATCAAAATTATTAAAATTATATGAAAGTGTGATTGCTTTAAGTTTTTCCAAATTTGAACTCCTTAAGCAATTGTTTATTTATTACTCTCGCAACTGTTTTTTTTTAATATAAATATATAATACATTGATAGACGCCACAGCTGAGCAATCCAACCGGTTTCGCTCAGTGCACCCCTACCCAAACCCGTTCCGATGAAATGTTCAATTTTTTCCGACTTGTTCAACCACCAAACATTTTCAGTTGAGACTCGCAACGGCGCAGACGTCGTCCACGACCAGCGGTGGAGGCCTTACAGATATTTTGTTGCTTTAGAAACAGTCGAACGGAAGGACAGACGGACGAACAGACGGACAAGCGAGGTGAAGCAGTAAAAACACTATACTACCCGCCATAATAGGAACAACTCAATGAGTACAAAAATAATTGAAAAAAAATAATTGAAAAAAGATTTTAAAAAAATTAAAAATGTCAAATTTGAAAATAAAAGCAAAAAGTGAATGACTATTATTTAATAAAGAGACATACGAACAAGAGTGATGGCCAACAGAAGAAACATTTAATTGATTAAAATCAATACAAATGAAAAAAATCAGCGAAAAAGTTAATGTATAAAAATATTAACACAAAAAGACTGAAGGTGTCAATAAATAAAACACACGATTGGAATATACACATTATGCTTTGCTTCCCTTCGCAAAGCATATACAATTTTCAGCAGTTGCAGCTGTCATGCAATAGATGGCAGCAGTATATTGCATGCGCCATCTATTGGTCGTTATGCGCCTAAGTCAATGTTGGTTTTGCAGTCACTGCTTGTGCGGTTTGACTGCCATTGTTACTCCTTTGGAGTTGTTCTGCAAACTAACAGAGATTTTTTCTATCCACATATGTTAACGGCATATAAAAATCTCATACATGCATAAAACCCTTCATTCCGAATGTTTAACTGTTCTTTATTTTAAGTATTTGGGGAAAAAGACTGTAAAAAATTCCAAATTTTATAAATTGTTTCTATTTTGTAGGTTTTAATGTTCATATTTTTTTTATTGGCTGAGCAGTAATTAATATGGGTAGAAATGTCAAAATCTATTAATAGAATGCCTCACCTTTTAGATCATATTTTAGTTATGTATATCCCACATGCAGTTCATATTGTACTACAATTTGAGTGGGCTCTTCTGTTACTGCCTTGTTGTTCACAGATTCACATCATGTATATGCTTAGTATGCACTTGCTGCATGCAGTAGCAGAAGAGGGCCAAGGTAAAACAAGTACAGGTGCTATAGTCAGGTGTGCTCGGCTAGAAGAGCATTCGAACTTTTTCCTATGCGGCAGTGCTTCTTCTACCTTTTGCGCCACATTATTCAAAAAATTCAATAGCTTCCGTATGTATAGTCCATATTTACCTGTGAATAAATAAATACAGTAGGCTTGAGATATCTTTGAAGAGGGGAATTATCCAAAAAGTGAATTATGCTTTAACCTTATATGACATACGATAACCTATATACCAAGTCTGCTGTCTCTAACTTTTATAATTTTCGAGCTTTGCTTGAAAACTATATCCCAAAATCGAAATTTATGGATATTATGAGAAAAGAAGGAAATATCTAAGAAAATTATTGATTTCTTATTTCCAAGTTTCTATAGATTCCGAGATCGACTCGTTCCAGAATTGCTTCCTTCCGCCTTTTACACTCATTTTTACAAAAGCATAACAACCTTATAAGGGGATAAAAAGGCAAAGGGTCCATTGCGTTCCATTCGGATTTCCCCTTTTCCCAGAATTTGAACTACTTAAAACTGGTAGCGGTCAACTCAAAGTACCCCAAGTATAATAAGGAAAAGTGGCTAAAATTTAAAATGATTTGATTGCCGATGAGCTAATAAAATGAAGCACCGGTAAATCCACTGGGTTCAGCATGTGGCCAATCAAAGATTGCAATTCAATTTCAACCGCTTGTCACAATATGCGGAATAGCGTATTAAACTGAAGAGCGGGTGATGCAACGCGGAGCATTTCATTCAAAATCGAGCAATCGAAACATCAAGATGTCAGTAAACGCGGTTAAGACAACAAGATTGCATCGGGCATCGTTAGGAGCCATTGAGTCGAAACGGGCCAACGTGTTGGCATGGCCCACGGGTCGAGGGCAGTTGGCGAGGAAAAACATGAAAATCATCTTTCAGCGCGTTGCGCTTGCAGTTACAGTTTGATGGGGCCCAATCGCAATCAGGTGAAGTGGGCGATGCAGGGCCTGGGTGCTGGATGCACATGTGCTGAGCCTGGTGCCTGGTGCCTTGCGCCTGCTGCTGGCAACCAACAAGTGCAAAAAGGCAAAACTGAATACGTTAACTAAAACTGAGACTGAGACTGAGACTTCTTCATCCATTTGCGCTTCACTTGGCATATACTTGCAGTTCAGCTTTTCATTTTGCTGCCGGCGCTGTCCACAAAATGTGCTGCACGCGAGGAGCACGACATGGCGGTGCAGTCGGTTGAGCCACAGCCAACTGGTTTTCTGGACAATGTGCCGCCCTTTCGCCCTGCCATATTTGTAGCGGCAGCATGGCAGAAAAAATATTTTTTATCAAATTAAATATAAATAATTAATATTTAATAATTGTGTGTAACCTATTATTTTCTTAAATTAAACGTTAATTATACTAAAAGATTTTATTATCTATGGATAAATTTTTGATTTGGCAAATATACTTTTACAAGAGGCTTAATCAATTGGGATTATTGGAACAATATTTTTTCATGTTTTTTGTAAAGCATTTATAGTGATTGTAGAGGAATTTATGAATTGAATTGTTTGTTAATTATTTTTTAAATACCTTAAGCAATACAGAAAAAGATTTCATTTTTGCAAAGTATAGCATAGGCATAGTATACTTATCCGAGGGAAAGCGCTATTTTTACTAGTTATTTAACAGTTTGTAACTATATCCGATGCATACCATTTTTGATTTGGCTGTCTAAAAGTTACAAAT